ATATGTATGTATTTACAAAAGAAAAAGTATCTAAATGTGCTTATAATCGTTGTCAACTACCCATAGTACAAGCTCTGCTTAGTTTGGGACTAGAGGCGCAGTGTGAAATGTCCAAGGATATTATTGTTTTAAATAAAAAGAATTTCAGTCAGAAAAGTCGTTTCTAAAGACTTTAAACAGCTAGTAAACCTATAATACACATATAAGTAAGTACAGAAGGAAGTTTAACCACACTTAACTTGAAACTTACCCGTAGCATGCGGGTAGAAGCTCGTGCAAGGCAGTACATCACCAAAAACTGAGTTTATTATCGTTTTTGGGCAGACATTGGCAAATTATGGCGACATTCGTGTCACCAGCTGATAAACTATGAATTGGTATATTTAGTTTTTCGCCGCCCCATAAAGTTAGCTCGCGAAATATTGGAGGAGCACTGTGTTATTCTTTGGCACGCGAGAGGGAGAACTTGTTTCCACGAAACACAAGACAGATACGATTATTTCTGTGTCTAAATAATCAAATATTGTTATTACAATTCCTTTTGATTCGATAATTTACGGGGAAAACGTTTTGTAAGAAATCTGATGAAAATCAAAGCTTAGGTAGAGTCGTTAAATCATATTCGACTCTAAATGCTTTCTCTCTAAACACAATATGAGTATGGTTAATAACTTGTGGTTTACTGGAGGCTTAAATAATGGTTAATAGACCTAGAACCTAAATGTGGTCAAGTATAGTAGGTAATTATCAGAATCCAAATCAACATACCTCTCCATGAAGCCGAGGGTCAAGCCGAGTCAAAAATCCATCCATCCTCACATTTATACTCGTAATGTAGAGCTATAGTAACGCAAAGATTGAACGTTTTATAATCGAATGTCAGTGGAAACAGTCTAGCAAAGTTACTAAGAATCGCGCGATTTATCACCGTTGCATCGATGCATAATGTTGGATGTCGACGAAAAAACTTTTTGGGATTCCGCATGAGATGGCGACGTTATTGAGGATAAATTAAATATTATTTAACTCTACAAACGTAATATGCATTTGATTTATTGCCATCATGTTTATAATTGACAGCACATCAAGGATATTACAAAATCATATCTACAACTCTATAAGACAAACACCAGTATTCACAAACAATGCTCGCTTAAGTGAAACAGCAAATCGAACGCACAGCGTTGAATAGAGCTCTGTGATTGGTTCGTGTGTCACCCTGTGCGTCCACGCGCACTGTGAGACCTCATAGTAATGTTTGTGAATAACGGGCGTTACTTACTATTTAAATGAAGTAGGTACTTTTGAAGTTTGGATTGTATCCGTAAGATTAGATTCATTTGGAACTCTTACATAGTTTATTTAATCTACTTTTGTTTCAGCTTAATGACGTCCACTGCTGGACAAAGGCCTTCCCAAGGATTTCCACAAAGACCGGTCCTGCAGGCACTTCCATCAACCTTCACCAGATCGTCGGTCCACCTAGTGGGAGGCCTGCCCACATCGTCTTCCGGCCCGTATTCTGCGATTTCTTTTTAAATTAAAAACTTATAGAACTAGGCCTTACTTTGAAATCTGGGGCACACTGAAAACCAGCGCCGTGGCCTTCGTCACCGTGGGCCACGGCATATGCTGAGTGGGGTCCCGTTGCAGTGGGCATCTTGTTGGTGAATGGGTGGCACTGCTCAGTTTACTCTTGTTTTTATTTTTTCTTCTTCCATTATTATGTGCCACTGTCATGTCTATGTAATTGCCTGTATTTGTGTGATGTCCATTGTAATAAATGTATCTTTCTTTCTTTCTTTCTTCTTTAAATCGGCTACACTTTCGGTCTAAGGTCCTGGTGATTAATTCTCTTTCTTTTGTCTTGGTAGGGTAAAAAGATTATGAGACGTGTAAAAGCTCCTTAGGAATAATATTTTAAGTTTTTTTATCAGTTTTTTTTTTTCAATATTTTGACGATTTGCAAGCACTATTTGATAGTCTACCCAAATAATTAAATCCTGACTTTGATTTTGAATTCGAAGTCATGGGTTAAATCTCCAGTTGGGGTCGTTTGGAGTCTGGTCCAGCCAAGTTCAAGTAACAGAACTGGCGTGCAGCACCGTGTGTAATGTAATAATGTCCTCAGTTATCACAACCCATCAGAAAAAATACAAATTCATTTATTATCATTCGCAATACAGTTTTTATACAAGCCATATATCTATTATTTATTTGGCTTCCATCACGCTGCACCAAAGCTTTTTAGCTTCTGACTGACAGGTCAAAGCGAGCTTTCACACCCGTAATAATTTGCAGCTTTAAAATGCATGGGACTGCGCAAAAAAATGTTTGTTTTAATACATAAAATTTTGATTTTACATTTCATAAAAATTCCGCGTGTTAGTTTGGCTTGACAGGCAGTTGATGGGCGAAATGGATGGTTGTTGGAGAGCCGTTTTAATAAAGGACGGTGCTCACCGAGTGGCCGTGACGTCGCGAGCATTCGATGCGTTAGGTTTTGTAACACGAATGTTGTTACACGAACCGAAATATTTTTGGTATCTATAGTTTACCACAGTTTGGTTTACGGAAGTCATAACTAACACCTTAAGTTTTTTTTATTTTCTTTCGTATTGTTCTTGTGTGTAAAGTTGAAATCTCTCAATGGGGAGGTATCTACTTATTGGGTTCAATTTTCAGTTTGGACAAAAATGTATTTTAGGTATTTATTCCCAGTTTAGTATAGTCGTTGACAGCATTTGAATATGACATTTTCATTTTGGAAACACATTAATTAATATTTTTATGAATATTTTTGATCTCACGCGATTAGTTTTATTAACAGTGACATAAACCAAAATCAACGCAATCGAATCCGCGGGCAGAAGTTAACTTAGTACAATCAGCTCCTGTTAAGTTTCCTCTTCACGACCGTAACTAGTGTTAATAATAATAATATTAGCATTAAAACGTCTCGTCCATTTGTTGCGATCGTCCATCAATCAAGCATTCAAATTGCCTTCGCAAATGGATCGCGCTGGTTCGCAGACAACTCATTACTGCACGAAAAATTACTTGATTACCTACTTTGTTTCTATTTTCTTTATTGACTGTACAAATTATACAAGTTATTTTGAGGACAATTTTTTTTTGGCTCTACATTAATTTTGATTAGTTAATTAAATGTTGTTTGTATAGCTTCTTTATAATGACTTCAAATCAGATAGAAAGTTTATATTAATATAAAGTAGTCATCAGTAGTGTTGATGGTTAAAAATAGTTTCATCACTACATCTTATTATAAGAAAAAGACCAAAGAACATCGTCCAAAAACTAGAAGGCGAGCCACTTAAAAAAACTACGTATGCAAAACCCGCATCAGATTTTCGAGAGCCGTAGAGTGCCGAACGTAGCTATCATTCATTAGTAAGTAGATGTACTATCTAGAATCCAATACGACATTTTTTACAAACCCAGGGCACAAAGAACGGGCGGCCACCCCCACATCAACAACCCCGTACTAACACATGCAAACGCGTGCGTCGCGAGAACTTGAAAAAAATTCTACTGACCCGCGCACACTAACGCCCGCGCGCGGAAAAAATCACTGACACAAAGAAAGTCTATCCAAAACTTCTATACGAACTTTTGAACGCACATCGACGGTTTCACTCACACTCGCACGTGTACAAGGAAGTCGGGAGTGTGTGCGGAGTGCACTACGTAGGGACTGGCGCTAAAGTTAGCGCGCGTGTGTGCGTGCCCACAGTTGCAAGAGTCCAAAACTTCTCTTTGTAATAAACATCCTTATATCTGGCCCTGACGTACACGCTGAAATAAACCTTACGTTCAACATATTGAGGGTGGACTTAGCGTGGATTTTCAGGGAGGTGTTGCGTTCTGATTTTGAATGACCAGTTGCGCGTCGCGGGTAGTTTTGGTACGAAACTTGGTGGCGCGAGATGCAGCGCGTGAAACAGGAATACGCCACCGCGCCCCGTCTCTGTCTCACGCCACCCGCCGCCCGGGGCGGGGGCGTGGGGGGAGGGTGTCGTGTCGCGTTGATGAACATTTTTCTCATTTTTTTTCCTTTATTTTTACGCGAATCGTTTTTAAAAGGGTTTCGTCATAATTGCGTCGCCGCTCCTGATTACGTTAGCGGCCGATAAGCGGAGCCGAAACGTAAGGAGACACTTCCGTTTCATGTTTGTTGACTGACAATCTTGAATAAGTTGTTATAAGTAATTGAATTTCTACAAAATAATGTGAGATGTAATTAGCATAATTACTTTCATCTTCAATCGCTTTGAGATTACCTAATCAAACGTAATCATTATGTTTGAGCAATTGAATGTTACTTATTTCGTCAATTACATGTCATATAACTTTACATCATCATTATTAATGGCTTCAGAACTACATAAGTTGCAAAAGTGTTACACAAAATAAGAAAACTCCTGGTTCAGCCTTGCCATCCTTTTTTCCTCTATGGTCAAGACCAAGGAAACAAGAGCAAACAGCCATAGACTAGCGCCTCGAGAAAAGAACGCAAAAAGGTGGACGTAAACACCGCGTTGCGTACGCACGTCTCGAGATGTCGCGCCGGACGCGGGAAACTTATTTCCCGCCTTTTCGCGGACCGCCAATTTTCGAAACTAATTTGAATCTAATTAGAAAATTATTTTTTAATTACAAAGTAATTTAAGTAACTTTATGAGGGTTTAGTTATTGTAAAATAAGCTTAAAGCTTTATTTTTTGAGAAAATTTTCTTTTGTAATTTTTTTTCTAATTAGAAATTTTCTCGAGCTCGGAAAATTCACTGAAAAAAAGTTTTTTTTTTAATATAGTGGCTGAGTATAAACTTTTTTTAATGAACTATAAAGTAAAATTAATCCGCGAAAACTAAATAAAACCGATTTAAAAAGCATTAAAATGTAATCCGCGCGGCCGGGCCGCATCCTCGCGAGGGAGAAAACAAAAAAAAGCCGCCGGCAGCGGCAGTGTAGCTCGGACCGCGGCGCGCGCCGCCCGCCACACCAATCTTTAGTTACATTTCGTGTTTCCGTTCGCAGTTCGTAGGTTTTGAACCGCGGTTCCAAATGTGCACAAAATTGTGACTCTCGAACAAAATGCAACAAACAAATTGTATCCGGCAAAATTTTAAGTAACCGCACTAAACGCAGTTCAATCTAGGTTTATTTTTGTTTATAAGTTGGTACGTTATGTTGTTTTGGTTTTTTTCGTAACAAACTGTACGGGATCAAACTGTAAGCGACAGACTAGAGGAGAAGAGAAGAGAAGAGAAGATGGCGCTCGCGTCTTCTGTCAGTTTGTACTACTCCATCGTGCAGCGGGCTGCGAGGCACTATCTGGAAGACTATTGTCACACAGGTATGTTTTTTTTTTCTAATTTCTTTACAGTTTTTTTCATATTTTTTTAAACTTGCGTTTATTTTCAATAAAAATTCTCACATTTTTAACACTTAAATTTCAAAGAAAAAAAACATTGAACTTTCCTCTTTTTTTAACTTCTCCCATTCATACCAGATTTAATTACTTATCCTAATAATTAGTCATGTACATTAATTAATTTTACTGTTAGTTTAATGCAATTAATTCTACAATAACAAATATAATAATTAAGCGGTGAGCTTACGACAAATCGGCATTGTTGGGCGCGAGCTTTTGCTGAAAGTTTGGTTGACGCGAACTTTGAGCAACTTCGGACGCCTTGCATGTTTAAAGGACATTCCACTTTTATTAGCTTTTTTACTACAAATGATTAAAAAAAGCTTTAAAGTTCAATTACTATTTTAAGAAAAAAAGCTTGTGGTAAATATTACTCTTTTAATTTTCTTGTATGTAGCTCTAATTTAAAATAAAAAAGGTTTATTAAAATACTATTAAAACTAAGCTATTCTAATCGAGCTTAATTTTTTTAACGCAATGTAAATTGTAATTTAATAAACGTAATTTAAGTTAAAAAAAACTTTAGTTATTTATTGCATGTGTCAATTTAAATATTGGTGATTAAACTTATTATTCTCATCGATAAAAAAGTAAGGAAAAGTATTTACGAGGAAGAGGTATGAGTAATTTCATTGAGTAGTTGCATTTTAAGTTATGATAATATTATTTCATTAATATTTGTTAAAAGCCTTTAATGTTAACTTTACAAGTAGTACAGAATTAATAATCGTAAAGTAACAATACAATTACTGATTTTCTGTAGTTTACAAGTAATTTTTAAATTGCTATAATAAGTAAAGCATGTATAAATTACAAGAAAGCTGTAAACTTTCTTATAACTGAAATAGAGCTTTCCACGCAGAGCTTAAGAAACAATACACAAAGAAACAAACAATTTCATTACCAAAGCTCGCACGTAACTCCAATGAATGTAAGGACACTTACATTAAATAAACACTGAAGCTCGCTCAAAAGCTGCGGCGAAAGCTCGCTCAATTGATTCGAACTTGCTTGGAAATAAGCGCTTTTTCACTAGAATAGACGTTAAGAAAATAAATAGTACATTATGAAATGAGAATTTTTGTTGTTTTATTTTAGATTGAAGATTGAAACTTTCCGCGACAATAATAAGCTTTTCTTTTGTTAAACTAACATTTGATTAAGAATCTAATTGCAAGGCTCGTTATCATAACATATCATTTCATGTTAAATAATAAATGTATTAGAATACAATCATAGTTGTCCATTTTGAAAACTAAAATAGCTTTTCTTTCTTCAAGTTCAATAAAAAATGCTAGGTTTTAAATTCAGTGCGCTTTAATGATTTTGTAAAGAAAGAAGTTTTTATTTCACAAGTTTTTCAGGGTTTTTCATTAACTACTACGATTAGATAGGTGCGATAACTTTTTTTTATAATATAAATACCCGTTTCTGTAGTTTCCATGTTCATAGTTGGGGCAAACATTCTAATTACTTTATTTTTGATCTGCACATAATTTTAATTCTTTAACAGAATCACAGTTTCTACAGTTACTAGTTTAATAAATATATGTTTGTAACCTGCAGTCAATTAATTAGAATAAGTAAAGAAAATAACGTTTATTCAATAAAAACAAATAAGACGGTAATAATATTGATAATTACTTACTTCAAGCGCGGTTGTCCGTAAAGTATTTAACGGCTTTTAACAATCAGTATCTTTTATTACCAGTATATTACTATTGTCTCTAGTTTGTAGAAAATAACCATAGTAGTAGTGTTAATATAATAATGTCCAATAAATCTCGTCTATTCTAACAGCTCGCGTGACATCAGAATATTGTGAGGTTATAAATTATTTACACTGGAAGTCAGACGGTGGAGGATTTACAATTCGTTGACTTAGTTTGCTTTAAATACTTCGATGTAGTTTTTCTTTTTGAGTAATTCTTTTTTTAGAGTATTAGTAATTTTTAATGCAATTACTAATATTCCTGCTTACCCCTCCAGGTTTAATATCTGCTTGTTTTAGAAGTGGGTTCTTAACCACAATATTCCAGCAGTCGATGGGGATCGAACTACCCTCGAATTTGCAGTCAAACCCTAACGCCATCGGGCTATTGTCGCCTTATTTCTTAACTAATCTTAATCCTTATTTCATTGTAAAAAAAACTATCTATGTTAACGTTTTTCAATTACAATGCATAATAATGAAAAGTGTCTGCATATCCTTACTAATTAATCTTGTTAACTTCTTATGATTTATTATCTTAGTTTTATTTATTATCTGATTTGCATTACTCAGTAACAAAGTTTCCCAGAATATATCTTTCAAATATGTATTACAATCTTACGATTAAAAATTTTCATCCGCTAACCGCGATGCATTTTATCCTGAAGCCTGATTCATGAATCGGTCGCAAATATTACCCAAGTATCGGGTAATTATCTGATTATCTAAACACTGTGATTATCTAAACTTTTCATTGTTTTTTTCTTATGTTCATAGTTACTTGAGAAAAATATTTAAACTACAATCTAGCGTTAAGAACGCGCAAAAAAATTACGCTTAACATAATAAATCTAAGAACTGCGCCCATCGAAAAGTATTTTTTCCTTAAGCTAAAAACAAACTTCTCTTGCTCTATAAATAAAACTACACTACCTACAATGTTAATTAATAATTAATTCATTAATACAACTTGTTTTCTAAAACTTAATTTAAAGAATACAAATTGCAATTCCTTTATTCTTAGGATGCAGAATATAAATCTTTATTAAAAGAATGCATATTAAAATCTGAAGTAATATTTAACGCTCGTCTTAAATGCGATGCTGCGTTCGGATGCACGCCCTTTCGATGCAACCACCCACGGTACTGTCGGGAACAAAACGCTTATCTTTTTTGCGATTTGTAATCAATAATCATATCGACACTACAAGGATTAATGTACAGTTAAGAAATAAAAAGAAAAACGAATTAATTAATTGAATATATTTTGGGTAATAAGAAATAAAGTTCAAGTACTGCGTGCTTATAATATGAAGGCATACATGTACGAGTAATTGATAGAGTCATAGTAAAATAAGTTTCTACTTATAAATTAGTTTTTTAACTACACAAATAAACATGGCAAGATAAATAATACCGTTTAAAAAGACACACGATCATCAGTTATAACTGGATACATAATTACATCCAATCCAAAATAGAAAATATAGTTCCGTATTATAAATCCGTAAATCTTCCAAAATACTCTTTATAAATCAACTAACTCAAGAAAGTAAAAGTGTTTAACTCCACATAAACCACTTTACGCAAGGATTCACCGACCACCACGTACTACGATATCATCTTAGCCTTTTTTACCCGGGAACGGGTTTGCGTAGACAGCCTCCCCAATCGCCGGGCGTTAACCCACAATACGTGTAGACAACTTTGCCTCGAAGTTATGCACTTTTCATTTGGCTATGCGTTTACAAAACTTTATAAGCATTTACGCCTTTATTCGTCGTTTAGTTTAGTGATTACACATTGATACTTCAATGTTAAAAAGGTCTTTTCCTAAAGAGCTTTATTGTTTTTTTTTATTGAATTATACGGCTGGCAAGACGTAATTTAAAATTGATAATCATGTTAATTTCTTTCAAAAGTGGTTGACACTAACTTGCTATTCAAACTATTTGATCAACAATTTGTTTTTATTGTTATGTTAACAAGGAAAATGTTGACAAAAGTTTAAAGATTCCATTGATTAATAAATGAATTGCAATTACCCATGGCAAATGTTGGTACGTATCAAATTTATTATTTATCCTTAGATAACCTATAGTTTTACATTTAGATTTTTTACTATACCGATCCTGATAAAATAATGACATTTCCAATAGAATCGCAAGAAATTAAAGATTAAAGTATCAAGACAAGTACATTGTAGAGTAAACCTACCAGTGACTATTTCTTTTCAAACAAGTTTAAAACTACCCTCATAATTTCTCTCGATCCTTACCCCGCCCGACACAGTAAAGCGACGTATGTCCGCGACTGTACTAAACCAGTCGCGTCTGTATGCTAATGCGCAAACGCAAAGGGCAAGGTCGCTGCGACTTGTCGCGATTTTGTGGCGGCTCGAATACTTATGCATTTAGGGTTTTAATTCATACCTTTTTAAAGATAATGATAGGGAAGAAGTTAATAATATATCTTATTTTTTACTATACATTTTCTGGAAAAAATCGAGGAATTTTACTTACATGTAATTTTTTATAATTTATAAAAAATCATTTTACATTATACAATTACCGTTTTTGCATGGTGCGTTGCGCGTACGCACGCGTCGGTTTGTCACAAAAATATTATTACCTACTTGTAGACGCTGAAAGCTGTGTAACTTATAACTTATAAAGAACTTTATAACCTGTATTCTGGCAAATAAACGCTTCTTATCTTATCTTATCTTAACCAGACAAAATAGTCCCAAGAATATAATATTGAATTTACAAAAATAAAAAAGCACCATGTAAGAAATGTGGAAGAGTGTACTTTTTATAGTACCTATCAATAAATACATTGAAATAAATAAACGAATATTGAAAAATATCTGGCGTAATGCTCACATTTGAATACATAATATTATTTTACTAACTAATCAATGCAATAGACAAAACTATGTTTTACACAATAAACATTACAAACTTGCTTTATACAAATCTTTCATCTTTATTCAACAAAAGGCGTACCTATATCTTTCATAAATCTTTACAGCTCATTAATATATCATTTATTTTTTATACCATCTCTATAGCAATGTTATTAAGATTGTAACAGTACCCATTTTCCTCTACTTCTGCGTCGCACGCGCAGCCAAAACCGCGCAATCATTCACTGCTCTGAATCATACGGGCATTGTGCTCTATATTAAAAAACCATTGATAGGATAGGC